GCTAAAATAAAAGGTTTGGAAAAGTAATAGCAGATTTTTATTTATGTGCAGTTTTCCTTAATTCAGAGAGTATCAATAGTTGTTAGAATTATCTCCACCAGTAAAATAAAAAATGTTATGAACATGGATAATGTTGACCTTTCTTTTATGTTTAATAAGAGAGAGAAAAAAATCAGTAAGGAATGGTAAAATTTGTCAAAACAGTTGTTGGCAGAAAAAATAAATTTTGAGAAAAAAATATTTCGAACCAACTGTTCTCTGGAATCATAATTTGAGAAACATATGATCTAAATTTGTTGAATGACAAATTAAAATTCAATAGATCTTAAATAAAGAAAAAACACTTAATTTTGCCTCTTCTTTTTCATCAAGTGATTCGTTTTAACAAGACTTAAGAAATATATTTTGATAAGGTAATGTTATTAATTTTTATCTTGACAAGTCTATATTTTTAAACTGTAGCACTACTTAAAACATTATATAATACAAACAAACTAGCATAAGCTTTAGAAATATATAATTACTGTACAAGGAAAAATTTGATAGAAAAATCTTAATCATACATTTTGTTATAAAGATCTACACATGCTAGAACAAAAAAAAAGTGGACAAGTGTTTGACTACACTGAGCAGATGACTTGACTCTCTGCTTCTATATTTGTTCATATTATTATTGTTGTTTTTTTAAAGAGTGTGGAATAGATGCTTCTCTAGGAACACTGTTTAATATTAGCATGTAGATAAGATACATGTGACTATTTCATGACTTCTGCACTATCCATTACATTTGTCCATTTATCAGTTACATTAATTATATTATTTGTTCTGATTTAACTATGTAATTTTTATATTACATTTGTTTACATTTTTTAATATATATAATTATATTTTTTTTTTTTTTTTTTTTTGTTGTCGTATACAAACTAAAATTTGAACCAGTGAAATTGTGTCCTTTTTAATATATAAAATATGGAATGTTAATTTTGTTTTATTTTACTTTTTTTTTTTTTATTGTAAAACATCTTGTGGATTGTTTTGTCTGCAAGATAAATAAAATGCAGAATGAAATTCTTTGACAAAAAAATGTTTGTCAGTCGTCTGTCTAAATAAAAAAGTAAATAAAATTTTTGTATTTAAATTTGATTTAATGTAAACACATTTTGCAAGTTGTCAAAAGCAATTTTTCTTTGCAGTAATATTTTGTATTTCCTTTTATGTTTTTTTTTTCATTGTTTTTAATAAATGCTTAAAAGATTTAATTCTGGAAATAAATTACCTTATAAAGTTATTACCGTATTGAAAATAAAAAAAAATAAAAAATGTATTTAATGCAAATGTTTTGAAAACCTAATTTTATTGTAAATGTCAGAGATTTTCATTAATCAAGTGAAAAAGATATTTATCCTCTTCACTGAATGTACTTGGTACTGTCTTCTTTTTATCTGTTACCATTATCAAATGATAACGATTCAAAGCAATAAAAGCATCTCTTTAAACTAAACTGTTCCACTGGTACATATTTTATCAACATATGTTTTTTCAAAAAGATTATATGGTTAGACACTTGATTAGACTTAGACCCTCCTGGTGCAATAGGATGGCAAGATCTCTCAACATAGATTGGTCATAGGCATTTTCCAACTGTTGCCTTTGGATTTTATGTCTTCTAAAAAAGTGTGTTAGACACATCTGCAAGTTAAGCTAGTGCTGATTTAGATTATACTATTTTTGTCAAACAGTTATAGTAAATAACTTGTGTACAATATAATTACAAAGCACATCATGAGAATGAAAAATTAATAACATTAAATTTGTTTTAAATTTACCTACATTTTCTTTCACTTTCTTATGGTTTTTCTTTCTATTGGATACACGAGGAACAAAAGTTAATCTGATAATTTCTTAACATCTATTTTCTTATCTATATATTAATTTGAAATCGTCTCTTTATTGTTTTTGTTTTTTTTTAATTTGGGTCAAATGTCATTTGCCATTGTATCTAGCCATTCATTCATCCATCGAGTCAAATCATCATCATAACACTTGACTGTTTTAGAGTTCAAAACAGCTTGCATGTTGGTGGCTTCATATGTTAAACCCCATGCTCCAGTCCAATCTTTACTGGTGGAATAGGACGGGATGTTGTTGTTCTGTTTTTCTCTACATAAAGAGTAGGCTGGCTCTTAGACCTCAAGATGTCCATTGGTCTTATACTAATTTTTTTTTTTTTAGCTTTAAATGTTTTAAAGAATTATCTTATTGTGAGTATATTAATGTCTTTATGCAAAAGTCTTAATTGATGCCCACAGCCTTCAAGGCTAATCTCATTAAGTACGAATTTTTTAAACCCTGAATGAAGATGAACAGAAAAAAAAACAGCATAATTGACAGCAGAGTAGATATGGAAGTAAAACCATTATATTTAATTAGGTATATATGCTGAATGAAATCATTTGAGATAACATGCTGGGGAAACCCAATGCTGTCAAACTTTTCCTACTTTTGAGAAATCCAGTTTTATTTCATTTATAGAATAAAGTAAATAACTTATCAGGTGTTAATAATCAAGAGGATATGAAAAAAAAATTGACAACTCTGTTGTCTTACACTAAGAGAGGTTATGGAAATAGCAGATTAAAATGAGTTCTTTTCAAAAATTTGTTTAAAAGTTACGTAAATTGAAGGTAGCAATACATTTATCAACATTCTATAACAAAACTCTTGTTATCTATGATTTGTTTTCATTAAGAATTTCTCTTTTTTTTTTTTAAAGCTCTAAAAAGTTATTGGAAAAAAGATTTTAAACCCTTGAAGTTAGGTAACTTCCCTAGAAGTTTAATACATAGCTGATAGGGATACTAGAGATCAGTTTTTAATTTTTCATTATTCGATTCTACTTTTATTAAATAGCAATAGCATTTTAACAGACAAGCTAATTAAAAAACCTCAATAAGACATAAATAATTTACTTATAAGATATACTTTAATAAACTTCAGTCCTAATGAGTAATCTGAATCGACACCCCCATTGGGTCTTGGCTCTTACTTTTATGAAATAAAAATCTTATGATCCCGTCATCTAAGTATTCTCTGACATGCAAGCTAACGTAGAGTGTCCATGGAGTGTGACATATATCTTTGTTATGTAATGCACCATCACCTATGTCAAACTTTATGTCTTCAGCAGTCAGAGAGAAAAACAACTTATTAACAAACTATAGATGCCAATAAAAGCTACTTATAACAAACTTGTCTTGGAGTTTGAATGTATATAGTTTTCTGTTGCTTAGTGTCTCACCAACTTGTTTCAAAACTAAAATATTGTGCAAAAAAAAAAAATCAATATTGAAAATAATTTGTTAAGAACACTGCAATAATATATTTGTAAAAATCCACAAGTTTAGAATTTATTTTGTGTATGTTGTTTTCATATAACTTTTGATGCTATGAATCTACAATTCAATAATATATATATACTTATTTATAATAATTTAAGAGTTTTGCAATTTTATACTATTTAAGGTTTTGAGTGTTTGTTCATAAAAATTAGCAAGGAAAAAAAAAAAGAACAGTTCATTAGAAGTCTGCATAGAAAGAAATGTTAATGTCTTGCCTTTTAAACATTTCATTTGTAAGGATTGTGGATGGCACTTAGAATTATTGAATCTAAGGGGATCTAGATTCATCTTTAATTTATAAACCACATCAGAACTTTTAAAATATATGATGGCTTCGACATGTTTTGCAGTCTTATGGTTACCAGACATCTTTGAAAATGGGGATCATGTCCTCTGTCAGACAGGCATTGACCTAAAGCAGTGATGCCCATAATTTGACATGAAGGCCATTTTAATTTCCAAAAGTGAACACTCGTCTCACAGGCCACATGATCGAAAAGTTACAAAAAACGTAATGAAATTGTTCTGCAACTATTTTACCACAAACCCCTGGATTCAGTGCTACATTCATTAATGGGATATTTGAGAATTATATTTGTTACGCATCCATCCTCCAAACTCTAGGCCTAGTTAATCTTTTATTTGTAGTTCAAACCAAGGATGCCGGCATATTTATTTCAAAATGATGATATATATGTTTTTTTTTAAACAGCCACACTTTCTTTATAAAACAAATATGTTGGCTTATTATCATGTTCCACAAAAAAAGTAAAGATCTGCCAACTTTTCCTGGTAGATTCTACATTCAAAGTACCAGCTCATAAACACACTAATGTTAAATGTCATGGTACCAATCAATCAGATAAAATATGAGAGCCATAAAGTAGGTTAAGATACATTTTTCAACCTTTATTTTTGGAGTGGGAATTTCTCCACTTTGTGCCAACGTTTTGGCGGGCTGGATTGAAACAGATCCGGCCCGTGGACTGTATTTTGACCATCAGCTTTTTCACAGCAATTGTATATTATCCATCAATCTGTTTTATTCTTTATCTTCTGGATGAATTGCATAAACTCACCAACAGACAGCAAGTAAGGTGACAATATTGTTGACAACCTGTGTTCAATGTTCAAGAATGTTTAAAAGAAACCTGTTACTCAAAATAAATCAAGACCTGCTGGTGTTTATTTTGCATTCCAAGGCATAATACTTAAAGCTGAAAAGGCATTTTGCTAATAAACATGTAGTGGGCAAAAGAAGGAAATACACCCTCCAATCAGAGGCTCTTTTCTTACAATGTACAATTTTAGCAAAAAAGTGTCTTGCATGGAGCTTCACAAGTACATTTGCACTAATGATGCACAACTGGGAAAAGACAGTGTCTAAGAATGGTGATACTAAATAGAGTCAGGTTCTACAACATTTGACTGGCTGCAATGTTTCAACAAAATAGTGTGTCATCCTAGATCTTGTTCTTTCAAGTTTACTTTCATTTTGTATTTGTGTGTGTGTCCTTCTTCTTGTCCTCCACTGAGTATGTGCTAGTATTTGGTAAACCTTAAGCATTGAAAACTAACCAACAAACAAAATATAACCAGAAAAAAGTGTATCTGTACATTTTATTGAAAGAAACCCCTCCAAGGAAATAACATTTGTATAGGAAATACACATAACACAAGGAAATCACCCCAAATAATCTACATTTCTTTAAAAAAAAAAAAAAAAAAAAAAAAGTTGTGTCTAGCAATTGTTACATCTTTACTTCAGTCATAAGTGCATTCAGTTTTCTGGCAACAGGCAAAAAAATAAAGTCTCTAAAAATGAAATTGACATGGTGAAGTTCTCTTTGCTTTTTTTTATTTTTTTTTATTTCACAAAACAACTAGCAGATTTTGTAATTAACATTCTGGTTGAGCTGATGAAAAATTCTCTTCCGTTTGCTTAGTTTTACTGTACATTGGAGCGTTAAGATACATCAAAAAAAAAAAAAAAAATCAAGAAAAACAATAAAGCTTACTAGTAGAACCATGCAATGGAGGTTGACATACATTTACACAACAGCCAGAAGTTTTTCTCCTATTTATCTCCCTCCCACCCATTTCATTCATTAAGTGTTCATCCTAGGGGTAAACAAAATAACAAAAGGAAGCTTCGGAAGCTAGGCTCCAGTTCAAATCCTGTACATTGGATACATTTACTTCAGCATGTCTTATGAATTTTCCAAGAGAAAAGCTTCACCTCTGATAAACTGTTCATTCAGTTCTATAAAGTATTAGCCTAAAAAGAATATTAACTTTTAGTAACAAGTTGTGCCTCTCACAGATTTCTGTTTAACCAAAGAACTGATCAACACTAACACTGACAGCCTAACATAATGTCAAACTACATAAAAGTATAACTGTGGGAAAAAAATGAAATCAAACATATGTATTTAAGAATATTAACACATGACCTGACTGGAGATGAACTTAATACGACATGAAAAAAACATGGTACCTGACTGGACAATAACATGCGTGCTAACAAACAAATCTTAAGTGACCATCTTAAAGAATAATCATTTATAAATAGCACAAATTAAAAATGTTAAAACTACAGTTCTATTTATAAATATACAGAGCTTTTTATTGTTAAAAGAGGTCTTATCATCAATTTTTAAATAAGATTATGTAGCCAATTAGAGTGTTTAATGTACAAATACAGTAAAAAAAAAAAAAAAACAAGAAACAACTCTAAAAATGAGGTGAAGTTTTATACCTGCCTAAGTTTATGTGTTTTGTATATGATCAATTGATTCACAATTTCTTCCAAGCATTTTATTTTTCATGTTTCATAACAAAGTGGAGAGCGTTTCAAAACATTATATATTTTTTTTAAATTGTAATTTTTATCAACACCAATCATCTAAGCAGGACAACTGAATAACAGAATCTCTTGTCTACAGTATCACAATCAATAAAGTAATGAAAATAACTGGCACCATCATTCATCCTCGTCATACACAACAAAAACACAATGTGTATCAAATATAAATTATCATATTCTCCCGCCATTGGCCCAGCTGTCTGTCCACACGCTGAAAGCATGGACCGCCAGAATGGGAGTCATAAAGAACTTGGTGGAAATTATGGTCATATACATTGTCCGCTTCTTTAACACCTTGTGGTCATCCATAGCGATCCTGGGAAACAAACAGAACAAAACATTTTTAAAACACGACACAATCTAATATTTCAAACATAAGTAATAACATAATAAGTCAAATACAAACAAAAACGCTAGATAAAAAAATACACAGAAAAAACATAAAAGTTAAACAATACATGCCTATACAACAAACACATAATCTGCACTAGTGACATGGCTAAGGTCAGTTTAGAAAAATAGTTTAAGGACATTTCAAAATCGAAATCTCTTACTAGAATATTATTTGTGTTGTTAACAACTGTTGCTGTTCTAACTGGAATATTATTTATGTTGTTAACAACTGTTGATGTTTAACTATCAGATAGTAAACCTGTATAGTGACAACAATAAACCTATTCATTCAAACAGGTTTTCAAGGGTATCATTTTTAGCATTTGTTTTTACTGTTTTGCCACTCACTCTAAATGAATTCCTTTATAACTGTAGATGACTATAGAAATTATGTATCCATTTGTCTTTAACTTTTCTTATTAAAAAGTCATAGATCTAGCTATGACATAAAAATTTTATAAAATTAATAATTTTTTCTTAATGCAAGTTTTAGTACCTAGCCACCAAAATTAATAGCCATAATATTTTTAAAAGCCCTCATTAAGCTAAAAATCTATATATTCAATCTAGGGTATAATAAATATATATATATATATACAAAGGTCAACTCGTTGATTGTGAGGAAATATTCAATCAGTGATCATTTTGTCAAGACAGGGGGAAGGTGATTTAATCATTCTCTCAACTAACGAATTAAAATCACTAATTATGCCATTGGATGGATACATATGCAGGTTAAAAAAATTGGGAGATGGGGGGGGGGGGTTTTAAAACAATCAATTAACTTATTAATAGAAAAAAGTTTTGTGTTTGACAAAGTAAGTATTGAACCTATTGCCACTAGAAGCAATTCTAGTATAACATGTTGTTACTGTCAAAGGCCTATTTTAACCAAGAGCTACAACAAAACATTAGTACTGAGTAATCCATAAATTACTAAACAGTACTAAGTAATCCATAAGCTACTAAACATCTAAAAAATCAGTGAAAAAGCGTGCTCATTGCTGCTAGTTAAGTTAAATTACTTCTCTAGTCCAACATTCGACAGCCAGAATAGAAAGCAAATAATGTGGTTGCAACTAATGGACAGTGAATGGCTTTATGGTAATTATTGTGCTTCAGGTTAGCAATTCATGTTTAATGGATGCACATTATAATATACTGACCAGAAAAAGTCTATATAAAAAAAAAAAAGATTTAATAAGGTCTTCTTGAAACAAACTTAAAATATGTGAATAAATCTACTGCTGACATCATTCAATGTCAGTTAATGTTAATTAATTTATTTTCTTTAGATGAAATACTATTACCAATACTGTTTTCTTTAACGTTTTTTCTTTCTTATAGTCTTCTAAACATATATATATATATATATATATAATTCTATGTTCTGTAAATATATATTTCTTTGGTAATCTAATTATATATGTAATTATACATTTCTTTAGAACTGTTAATATTTATTTCTATACCCCTCTAAATATCTGTTTGTTTAACAAAAAAAAAATATTAACTAAATTATTGAAAGCAGAAATAAAACAACTTGTTTAATAAAGACTATTTCCTTACAAAAACAAAGTAAAATATTCCCAATAGTTATCGAAATACATTAGGCTTTAAGACTGACAGGGAACTTCCAAAATATATGCAACAGCTTATTTATTTCATAGGAAACATTCTTTTGAAAGTTCAATTTTTTTTAACTAGTTAAAATTTAGCTTAAGTAGTAGGTATCTAAAAAATTGTTTAATTCTTCCAAGCAAGCAAAGATTAAAATTGAAAATGAAATGGCTACAAAACAAAAGTAGAAGCTCTACAGCAATAAATAAAATGTAGAAGAAAGAAAATTTTACTACCAGCTTTGCCCACATACAAAAAACAACAAGTTTAATACTTTCTGTTAATTGTGTACATTACTTTGATAATGAGTTTGACTATCAGAATCAGCTAGTTATAAATTGCTAGAAAGTGTGTACAGAGAGGTAAGTCATAGTTAATATTGCAGGGAGCCATAGAGAAATTTAAAAAAAAACTAAAAACATCCAAATATCTTGCATACAAACTTTTTCATTTTGCTTTTTTAATTTTGAAACAAAAAAAAATGTACTATTTCGTATTTAACTATACAAGCATTTAGCTACGAAACAATGTTTATATATTTTTTTTTTAAAGTTTGGTATGCAAGAATCTAGAACTAAAATGTTAAGCTACAAAGAAGGAGACAAACACTCCAAGCCCTACCATTGTATACAAGCTTGCAGAGGGGAGCAGGTCAGATTTTCTCCCAGTATATGGACAAGAAAAAAACCTGACCCACACACATAAAAATATGGTCAGAAGTCATCACCCCATTCCTGAAAGATGATCACAAGCATGCGTTCAGTTCAAATAATCACATCTCTTCATCTAATGACACTGCTTACACATAGTAACTACTACACTCAATAGAAATTAATTATTTTAGAATTTCTTTCCTATTATATGTCTAGTCTACAAACTGTTATGTCCAATAACCATTTCTCTCAAATTTAGACTTTAATAGTACATTCTTCACATTTTTGTTTTTAAATTCAGTTAGTTCTTAGCCTATTATCATGCCTCAACGATGTGTGAGATTTAAGAAAAGAAAAAAAAATAAGGGCACAACAAGGAAGTATATGGATTGCACAATTATTAATGTATTATTAGTTCATAAACATTATAAACATGAGAGTTGACAGAAGTTTTGATTAGCTTGGACAGTATTCAAACAAACCACAAAACTGAACAGTGTATCAATCTACCACTTTCAGATGAGCTCTGTCTCTTTATTTGTATGTAAAGAAACATATTAACCTATAGACATCAAGTTGTTGTTTTTTTCTTTTCAAGAAACCTTAATTGTAGTTTGAGAAAAGGGACAATCAAAACATAGACTTGATCATCACCAGCTAACAAAGAAAAAAAACTTGATGCGCAATAGTATCATTCATTCATTATGCATTTCTGAACCAATATTTGCTTTTTCATTGACCAAAATCACATGAAATAATTTTGTTTATAAACTTTTCAAAAAACACTATATTTTGTTGTAAGAAAATGACTCATTTAAACAAAAAATAAAGGCTATTATTAAATCAACTCCAACCAAAAAAAACAACAATCTGAAGCAATAAAAAAAAAAAATAGTATAGAGATAGAGAATATATAAAACTCTTAGAGAAGAGAAAAAACAACAAAATTCCTCCACATTTGATTGTTTACCTTTTGACTATATAATAATGTATGTTAGATCTAAGTCTGGTTATTTACGCTGCAGGGAACAAACAATATAAAATGTATAGTTTATTGTCTCTCCAGACACTCTTCACCAGACCATTGCATAACACTTCTTGAAGGACTAATTACAATATAAGTCAATTACTCCAATTCTGCTTCAGGAACACATTATTATTTAAAATCAAAACACTTAAAGAGACAGACTAACATGCAAGTGCAGCTATACAGTTAAAATAAACTGTTAAAAACAAAATATGTCGAAAATGACTAACAATATATAAATATTTGGCTGACAATGTCCAATACAAAATAGTGTTAATTTTTCAATAAGTTTTTTCAAGGACAGACTAAAAAAAAAAAAGTCTTGACACATTTGAGAAAGGCCTGTCTATTGTTACCATTTCCTTAAAGACAATATATTCCAGTGAAATGGTCAAGCAAACATAACAAGTTGGAAATAAGTGAAGTAGTGTGCATGTTTTCACAACTCACACAACTAAGAGCTGATTTGCTGCTCTACTAAGGCAGCACCACCTCTTCAGGGCTCATTGACTAAGCTGTGGTCTATCTTATTTGTCATAAACCACTATTAAAACAAAACAACGTTAATCATAGAGTGAAAAAGACCTAGAGATCTCTACTAATGCAGAAATTACTCCATACCTAAAGGCTACAAGTGTCTTGTATGGCTTGCACTACCAAGTGCCATATTAATTTTCCCAGCAGTAGGGAGGTGACCATGTTAAGTTATTTGAACCAAGAAAATTGGGCCCTGAAAATCTCCACCAGGAGTTAAATCTGAAATCTGGATTTTGGCAACCTATAAACAATAAAAGCTTGACCATTTGATTCTCTATTATTCATCATATAATAGATATATTGAAAAAATGTATCAAAATTTCAATTCATCATTATTGCCTACCTGTAAACTGGACATAACTCCATTAGCCAGACTGGAGATTTTACCAGCTACTTTGGTGACTCCTTGCTTCACCCCATCCTTAATGTCCTGCAGATCAGGTGTGGCGCTGCTGTACTGTCGACGAGAACTGCTGCTGCCGCCACTGCCCCCTCCAAAGAAATCATCGCTAGAAATGGAAGACTGACCTTCCAGACGACTTAAATTCTGCCTCACTTCAAACTGTGAACATAAAATGAGACATTCTCTTTCTAATTGTCAGCATTCTAGAACAGTAGTATATTATCT